ACAATGTTTACCATATAAAAAACAAATGTTAATATGTACATAAAAATATGATTATTTCAATCTGGTTTTCCTTTTTGCCTATGTAAAAAAAATCATTTCTTTGCATTATGTTGTATTTGTGGCCACAACACTATTTTTTCACTTTTAATCCGGGCAGATTGACCCTACAAAAGTAGATGTACTACTCGGGTAGGAGGGCCGCATTGTCTCCTCTGAAGCGCGCTAAAACCAAAACTCAGCTTGGTGTTGAGTAAGAAGGCGGCAATATTGGAAAGACAATTGCGTTTGTGCAAAACCTTTTACCATGAAAAATATGAAAAATTTCTTTTGGTCATGAAATATGTGCACCATGGAGTAAACACAAGCCCAGCGTTCATGTAACTACTAAAATAGATATAGCTGAAATTTGGCAACACCATGCCGAAGAGCAGAATATAAAAAAAAGCTTCAGATAAACTTAATCTGTTTATTAATAGAAAGCGTACACTTGGCGAAAAATATACTCACATAGTTCCTAAAATACAGGAAACGTGATAAAATAACATGCTATTAAAATTAGCGAAAAAACAACTTGTTATGTATATGTTAGTCGACTAGAAAAAACGTATATTTAACTCTGCGATAATTGTGTTGTGCGGGAATATGTAGCATCGACCACGTTTAAGGTCTATGAAACATACGACGACATAAATATATGAAAAGTTTAAACAAAACACAAAAGTCTTCTTCGTCTAAAAACACTTGTATTTATATATTTTATATTAAAAATTCTTAATACAAAGTTTGCATCCACCAGGTGGAACAGTAAAATTGTTCAAGTTGCGTAAAAACAAAATTGTTCAATTGTTAGAATAAGCTTTGGACCACTGTATCTTAGAAATGATTAAAGATATCTTACTGGAATTTTACGAGGTCTTTATAACATCACTAGATTTTACTTTGAGCAATAAGAATGTATAATTATTCCCCAAGCTTAACAGAAGAATCGTGATGAATTCGTTCATAAACGAAAATGACATGTTCATCATTAATTAATCAAAATAAGGATTGTAAGCTCATGAAAGACTGGAATTAAGTTCAAATATATATATATATTTATTAAAGACATTTTTTATGTTTAACGTTGTTATTTATAGATACAAGTATTTAAGCAAATGCTCTGTTTATGATAAACAGTATAAAATAACATTGACCGGCTTTTTCATAGAAAATATTCGTTCTTTGACAGGATTCAAACCTGCATCCTATACGGAATCTATGAAAATTTCTCGGACATTCAGGCCGGTAAATGTTATTTAATACTGTTTATCATAAACAGAACATTTCTTAAATACATTGTATCTATAAATAACAACGTTAAACATAAAAAATGTCAGAATAAATCCATTTCTTAATATATCTTAATATATATATATATATATATATATATATATATATATATATATATATATATTCCAGGATCATTTTTCAACTTATTCAAGATGACCTTCGTCCTCTCTAACCTTCTAACTTTATGTTCTGGTGTAACAAGGCGCTTCACAGGTTTCAGGATTGAGTTGGATCTTTTCTAATTGATCTCTTTAGCTCTAAGTTGAAATGATGATCTCTCTTGCTGTTGTGACCTCCTGATCCAGTTTTCCTCTCTACCGTTCTCTCTTTTTTAAACTTATTCACCATTCTCTTGATGGTTCTTGAATGGATTTTGAAGCTGGAAGCCAGATTATGAATGTTGATACCATTACTGAAAGTTTGAATGATCTTTTTCCACTCACCATCGCTGAGCTGGTAAGACAGTGGAGCTGGCACGAAACAATTTTAACCTGTTCTCTTTTTAGCTGAATAACTCAAAGGGTTTTTCAGTTATTCTTACAAAAATGGCGTCCAAGTGGCTAAACGTCTTGTCTGAAAACCTGGAAAAAAGAAACTCAATTAGTATAGTATTTTTTTTTTAGATATTAGACATTAGGTAGGATGGATAATTTACGGTTAAATCACGCTGAAACACCGGTTCTCGTTCGATCACCGAAGTTAAGCATCGTAGAGCCAGGTCAGTACTTAGATGGGGGACCGCTTGGGAACACCTGGTACTGTAAGCCCCAAAGTCCAACCCTTACCTCACAGTCGGTGGGGGGTGTAAACGGTAGTGTCAGAGCTATGCCGCCCGGAACTTCGTTCCTGGTAGGACCACCAAGGCGGACAGGTCTGACACACACGCCAACTAACAAGGGCTCTGGTGAAAATCAAGGAGCGTCTGCATCGGTAACCGGCGGCTTCTGGTCGTTCCTGTCTCTGCTTCTGTGGGAACCCCGCGGCAAGCAAGAAGAACGTTATTCGAGTAGGCCTGGGTACCCTACTTCTGTAATTTATCCCAAGAATCTTCTTCTCATAACAGGAAGAAGCCGGCTCAATCCGCCCAGGGTGAATGCCGCATCAGTACAGTACAGTACAGTATGGATAATTATGCTGTTACACGATTTGAACAATTTTTCTGTTTCACCCGGTATCTACTTGCAAAAGACTGGGTACGAAAGACAATATAAATTTTGTACTTATCTGTTGGGTTATCACGAATCTGAAAATATCAGTCTTGTTTCAAGGAAAAAAAAAGAAAGAGGAACATTGATTTTCCCACCTAACGTGACTGTTTTTTTTAATTCTCGTGAATATTTATAATTAATTTTTATTGTTATGTTTGTTTTGGGTAAAGGGTGGATAACTTTTTGTCTCTCGCTACAATTGTCTCCGAGTCAAATAGGATGGACTACAATAAACCAGCAGGAGAACATATTTGTCCATCTATACGATTTGTGAATGAAAACGTGGGCGAATGAACATATTTGTCCATCTATACGATTTGTGAATGAAAACGTGGGCGAATGAACATATTTGTCCATCTATACGATTTGTGAATGAACACGTGGAACATATTTGTCCATCTATACGATTTGTGAATGAACACGTGGGCGAATGAACATATTTGTCCCATCTGAATGAACATTTGTGAATGAACATATTTGTCCATCTATACGATTTGTGAATGAAACGTGGGCGAATGAACATATTTGTCCATCTATACGATTTGTGAATGAACACGTGGGCGAATGAACATATTTGTCCATCTATACGATTTGTGAATGAACACGTGGGCGAATGAACATATTTGTCCATCTATACGATTTGTGAATGAACACGTGGGCGAATGAACATATTTGTCCATCTATACGATTTGTGAATGAACACGTGGGCAAATAAAAAAAAAAATCAACAAATACAATTTACTAGGTTGATTGAGATGTGTTTACATACGTCGCAAAGTCGCCAGTTTAAACACCAAGGACTGGCAATTATTTAGTATGACAAAAAAAAAAAAATACTTGGAACTAGTTGCTAAACTTTTCTGGGACAATAATTTTGCCTTTTCTATTTTGACATTTATCGCGTTAAAGGAATTGGTTAACAAGAAAGGATATTCCCCAATTGCATTTACCCCCATTATGGCATTGTCCATGGTATAGTAATGTAGTGACAACTACTACGTTTGCCACGCCTACAGTTTTCTCAACTTTGATTGGTTAAATAATAAATACATTTTACCACAGGACAATTTACTAATCGCAGTCACCACACTGAATTTTTCTGCCGTGAATTTCATAAACATGCTTTTATTAGAAAATCACCGATTGGTTAATTTTTCATCCAATCATATATTTTCTGTGTTCGTTCAATTCTCCCGCCTTTGTTCCTGGAGCCTAGCAATAGGTATAAAAGCAGTGTTTTGTTCCAAAAATAGACAGTAGAATCCAGCAACTCATACGTGTCTACAGAGATTATTGATTCTACTCACTGCGCACACACAGACACAGAACTTGAATCACATTTCACCATTCGTTTTCTGTGAACAAGCCAAGTTACAAACCAACACTCTGTTAGTTATACAAATAACACATAACCGAATTAACTGTATGTTTTTCAGAATGCAACATTCTATTTCAACATAGAACTTTGAACATTCTATTCAAGAAACATTCTTAATTACATTTTATCTTATTCAAGCTAACAGATAAAAGGAAACTACTTTCTTTTCCTTAATATTCACACATTAGCAAATTGTTTTGTATTTGTTGATTTTAATATATATTTTATCGTTGAAACAAAAATCGTTTTCTCATTGTTTTTCCTTGATTTAATAATGTATAAATGTTAAATGCGCTTCAACACGCAGCCACATTAATCTCTTCAAGATAGGGCACAAGCAGCATTTACAGTAACACCGTAATACACGGATAGAACAGAATAGCTGAAAGAAAAAAATAGTAAACGTGTTTTGTTCTCAAATAGATATTTTATATGGCTACGCCAATACACAAAATAGTCAATTAAATAAACATATATTATTTTCTTATATCTTTGATTCTGTTCCTTTATTTTGGAAATGTTCCGATTTTCCGAGAAATATTACTAAGATCCACTGGCACCTCTTTCACAAGAACTTGGGGTCGTTGTGCTGTAAATTTGCGTGGTGACATTTACTTTGAAAAAAAAAAAAAAAAAAAAAATAACAAACAAAAAAACAAAAAGAAACAAAAAAAACAAAAAATCAAACAAACAAAAAACAATAGCATCAACAAAAAACAAGGTCATTTGGAGGAAGAAACGATTGTTGAATTGTAACAAAAGTATCTCGCTCTTGTCTTTGAAGTGAACACTTTTCATTGTTTATTTTGATAACGTGCTGTTGTGACGAGTCTAAGAAAAAAACAATGAAACTGAATCCGCCGAGAGACATGATCGCCTGTAAGGTAAAAGGACATAGCATAAAAAGTACTCACGCGTACCAAATACAAGTACCGTCACGATTAAATTATTACCTTCAATGTATCCTCCCCTCCCTCGCCGGCAGAGTAAGGGATTATGACAAACACGACTGGAATTAGAACGTGGTTCTTCGATCTCCAATTCTGAGCCATTAGCCTTTACATCGTTCGCATATCCAAGCTTAGAGCACCTGGTATTCCCAAGTGGTCACCCATCTACGTACTGACCAGACTCGACGTTGTTTAACCGGCGAACGTACGAGAATCAGAGTTTCAATGTAGATATGGCCGTAATCCCCCGCTTCGTGGTGGAAGCAAGAACTTTTCCATTATTCCATGTACATATATTTTTGGGAAAGCTTCGTCGTGGGTGATAATTAATAGGGAGGTATCGCAAATCGTTACTAGTGATTTCTTGGGGTGGCCATTAATTGTAGTCTTGTTCTAAAGCTTAACTTGGCAAATCAAGAAATACACACCTTTAACTGATTTGAGAAATATACGGACGGTGTTTCAAAGTTTTCTAGCCGACCATTCTTAATGACATGAGAATAATTAAAGAGAGATATGAGAATAATTAAATAAAGGAATGAGAATAATTAAAGAAAAGAATGAGAATAATTAAAGAAAGGGATGAGGATAATTAAAGAAAGGGATGAGAATAATTAAAGAATAACATGAGAATAATTAAAGAAAGGGATGAGAATAATTAAAGAAATTACATTATTTATTCATCTTATAGAATCCATCATTATGGCTGATGCTAACCTCCAGGAGAGTGACTCATTGCGTTTTTTCGGGTTAACGTTTTTCTGATGACATGATGTGGAAACATTATGTTGAAAACAAATGCTAGGTCTGCTACTAGGAAAGATGTTTCACTGTATTGTGCTAGATATTTTTTCTCGCTAGAATCTATCTTATATATCTATAAATATACCATTCGTCCATGCTTTGAATATTGCTGCCACATCTGGTCTGGTGTTTCTGCTATGTAATTTAAAATTATTGATAAAATATCAAAGAAGAATCTGCAATGTTATTAGTCCTGACCTGGGGTCACTTTCCCACCGCTATAACGTAGCTTCCCTTTGCCTTTTTTTTTTTTTTTATAAATATTTCCATAAATATTTTTCTTCATCATTGTTCTGAAGATCTTTCCTATATGGTACCTAAACTTTATGAATTTAAGCGCAGTACTAGATTAGCAGCAATGTCTCATCATTTTTCATTTGAAATGCTTAAATGTAACCGTAAGTTCTATGCTAATAGTTTCTTCTCTCGCACTTCTCGTTTGTGGAACTCCCTGCCGGCTTCTTGTTTTCCACTCAACTTTGATCTTTAAAAATATTTAATGCAGTGTCAATCGTTATCTTCTGTCTTAAATCCTGTTCTTTTATTCTTCTCTCTCCTAAATAATGGTATCTTTCTCATATTCTCTCATACTCAGTAACCCCTTGCGTCTTAGTGGCTTTATTGCTTTGCCTGGGTTGAAATGATTAAAATATATATTTATTGATAAAGGTTGATTCTTCAGGTTATCCTGTTCGCGGTTCGTCTTCAGAGGGATTCCCTCAGCTGCCCAACGTTTGACCGTTACTCAGGAAGGTTAGTCCTCGTGTTAAAACATTTTGCATGCAATCATAGATTTCCTACGGCGCAATCTGTTCTGGAGATGAAAATTCAATAACAATGCAATTTCCGATTCTGGCTTACGTTCGTCATCATCAATTGCTTCAATTTTTCTTTTGCCTCTGAAATGTAAATCAAAGGAAAATATCGAGGGAAATGAAATATTCAGCTTTTGTGAGAATGAAATACAGAGTGATCAGTAACATTTCTATAGGAGTACCATAATTGCAAAGACAAGGACTGATATGATTTCAGTCTCAACCTGTTTTTCATCCTCATCAATACATTGATAGAATCTTTCACAGGTGATGAAAAAAACAACACTTCTATAGGAATCTTCTTTTATGTGCCGTGTCCCTTCAGTACGTGGTCGGTGATAGCTCTTCACAACTTCCTATCTTTTGTAGGCCACACTAATGCATACTACCATTCGTATTCTATTTACTGTCATCCATTTACACAAATTAGGTTTCCATCTCACTTTCAGTATGCAATGTGAGTGTCAAATTCTTCAAAATTACTCATTGCCCTAGAATCATCTGTCGTTTTCAAATCTGACCAGTTTTTCACACACACATATATATATATTAAGACATTTTTTTATGTTTATACGTTCTTTTTATAGATACAAATATTGAAGTAAATACTCTGTTTATAATAAACAGTATTAAACAACATTTACCGGCCTGAATGTCCGAGAAATTTTCATCATCCGACAGGAATCGGACCTGTATCCTATACGGAAGCGTCATATAGCCTGACGTGCTTTTACCGATTTAGCCATAGAGGCCATAGAGGAGCGTTTCGGTTAGCAAGGTCGATCTTACTGTTTTTAAACTTACAATTCTCCATTATTTTCTCTCGTACATTCATATCTTCTCGAGGCGTATCCAAATTTTTTTTTTTTTAATCATTTCACCCCAAGCAAGGCGGGAAGACACTAGGACGCAAGGGGCTACAGAAAATTTAGAGCAAGATCAGATAGGAGTGATAGAAGAAAGGATGAGGGTAGTGGATAGATCAAGGCAACTGGAGATGTCGATTGACATTACACTTGAATAGCTGGAGATTATAGCTCACAGGGAAACAGGAGAAGGGAAGGGAGTTCCACAGGCGAGAGGTGCGAGACATGAAGCTATTAGAGTAGAAGAGACGGCTACATTTATGAGTTTCGACAGTGAAGGGGTGAGAGCGGGATGCCAGCCTCGTAGGGCGCTGGAACTCATGATGTCTGGGAACCAGCGAATGCAGCTCCTCGGAGCAATTTCCATGAAAGTATTTGTAGAACAGACAGAGGGAGGCGACGGCGCGTCTGTGAGAAAGTGACTGTAGACAAGACACCAGGGCAGGGCCAGACCATATATGGCAGCAATACTCCATGCAAGCGCGATGTGGATTTGTATATCTGGAGGCAAATGACGTCACACATTATGAAATTAACAATGTCCGACAACTATTTTCACACACACACACACACACACACACACACACACACACACACATATAATGAAATGGACTAAGTTCGACTATTATTTTAATATATTTTCTGTTTATACATTATTTTTAGAATTACAAATATTTAAGTAAATTCTCAGTTTATAATAAACAGTATTATCTGAATCTCTGAGAAATAGCGTAGAAAACGTGTCCTCCGACAGGAATCGAACCTGTATCCTACACGGAACCGCAATTTGGCCTGACGTGCTATGCCAATTAGCTACAGAGGAACCGTCTGGTTAGCAAAGTCAAATTACCGTTTTTAAACTACAAATTTTCCATGATTTCTCTCGAACATTCATGTCTGCTCGAAGCGTATCTTAACGCAAAAAATGACCACATATATTATGAAATGGACCAAGTCCGACAATTATTTTAATATCTGTCTATATTGCTGAGATGAGGTATTATGTACATTATTTACATTATTCGGACTCATCTTTGTCGCCATATTTATAACAACGTTTCGGCCGTTGTACGCTCCGGCCTTCTTCTGAAAGTTCTCCACTATCTTAACCGGGTATTGAACTCACACTCTTTGGGTCCTGTCACTGGATCTAACTAACGCCTTTAAGTGCCCGCCGACAGGAATCGAACCTGTATCTTACACAGAACCATCATTTGGCCATATATATATATATATATATATATATATATATATATATATATATATATATATATATATATATACTTTACTTTACTTGTTTACATAAATTCAAATATTTTTATTTAAAATAAAATTTAACTTTTAATTTTTCATCTTTAGAGCTGAAGAATTCGAACAATATAAATTATAAATAATTAATTATAATATTATGGGCAACAATAATAAAATAAACAAGACTTAACACACAAATTTAAATTATCACTTCGAGAATGCGAAATCCATAACACTCTAACGGTCAGGGAGTATTTCGCACATGAAGATTGTACGTTTGCATGAAACCCTGAGTCGTACTATCGACGTGGGATATTATGTATATTCACTAATATATACTTAATAACTCTGTTATATAACATTGAGCAGTGTTTTTATAACAGCTACGAAAGAAATATATATGTACATGCAAATATATTTGCGTATACGTAATGTTTTTTATCATACCCACATCTATATAGATACTTCAAACGATTCGGTAAAAAATGGGAATACATGATGAAAAAATGCCCCAAACTTAATAACGACAAAGGTTTATCGTAAAAATCCATGTATTAATATTGAGAAGAAAAACCAAAGGATTTTTTGATGTAAAATTATTTTTTAATCCTTTGTCGAAACTTCGAAAATTTGGTTAAATACCTTTGTCTTTTTCTGGTCTTAAAGAGGGACCATAAATTATGGGAACTTTTAACGTCTTTTTGCGATGAAACACATTGGTTTTGAAATTCTAGGAAAAATCAAATAATAATTGTTTTTTAATGAAACTTTCAGGACTTATTCACAAATAAATGAATTTATTTTTGAAAATTTTCTTTTGAAGAAAGTTTTGGTATTTTTTTTTTACATCTGTTCCTCAACCCGCCACATATTTAATTTTATGAATATAAATCGCCATTGATTTTGGTTAAACTGGCTCTCCCAGTTATGGAAAATCTGCTCTGAATCGTAAAATAAAAGATATAATAAAACTAAAACATTATATAATTAGAAATGCTTTTAATTGTTTTTATGAATTATGTGTGTGTGTGTGTGTGTGTGATAAAATATGGTTTTAAGGTATGCTATATTTATGAGAAAAATACTCAATATCAGGGATAGAGCATATGTAAATATAAAAGTGGACATTGAAGTCAGTACCCAGAGGCGACAGTTTGTTTCATGCTAAACGCAATCATCATGGCCTGACGATTGCGTTTAACACGAAAAAGACTGTCACCTCTAGTGTTGATTTCAATGCCCACTTATATATATATATATATATATATTGATTTTTTATGGTATATCAATGCTTTATGGCTTTAAATAAACCTGTACAGATTTCCGATTTTAGATTATATATATATATATATATATATATATATATATATATGTAAAATTATATAGAATTAATACAAATATAAAGTTTGTCAGCTGATTGCTGTTAGCTTCAGCATCACAACTTCAGAGTTACGTAGACCCACCCAGCATATATATATATATATATATATATATATATATATATAT